CACCTGGGCACGTGGGGTAAGGGGGCACCTGGGCAGGTGTGGGAGAACACAGGCAGATGTGGGTGCATCTGAGCAGGTAGGCTATGAAGGTGCCCAGTAGGCATAGGGACACTTGGGCAAGTAGGGTGCAGGTACCTGGGCAGCTATGGGAGCACTGGGCAGGTGAGTTATGGTGCACCTGGCCAGGTATGAAATTATCTGGGCAGGTGAGATCCAGACAGGTATGGGAATATGGGGGCACTGGGCTAGGTAAAGAGGGATGAGCACCTGGGCAGGTATGGGGGCACTTGGGCAGGTGTGAAAGGCACCTGGACAGGTGTTTTTAAAGTGGGTATACAGGTATGTGCTGGCGTGAACATCTGAACAGGTATTGGGGGCATCTGGGCATGTGCAGGGGCAGAGGAGGGGAGACCCTGGAGGTGCTGCCCCCAGGAGCTGACAGCACAGGGGACTAAGGTAGGAGCAGGGCAAAACTGGCCATGAAGGTTGTTTGGGCTCTCTGGTGGGACCCTCTCTAACAGGTCCATGCTGTCCTGCCAGGGATCAGCTGGACTGGCAGCCCACCTGGCTCTGCCCACCCTGTTTAGCTGCCCTGCCCAGCGATGCCAAGGAGAAATGAGGATATGACTGCCCTGCTTGCCTATGGGGCGATCCTGAGCCTTCCCTCTTCTTCTCTTCCAAGGACTTCAGTTTGTCAAATGAAAAAGATGCCCACGCCAGTGACAGTGATGAGAACTCGGAGCGTGGCAACTGGTCAAACAAAGGCGACTACCTGCTCTCCATGGTGGGCTACGCTGTGGGCCTGGGCAACGTCTGGCGGTTTCCGTATCTCACCTACCAGAATGGCGGAGGTACCTGTATTGAATGGCAGTGTTGGGTGGGCACACCTTGCTATCCCAAAAGAGAGGATGGCCAGCTCCAAGAGCCAGCCCTGAGGTTGGGCACGTTTTGTCAAAGCTGGATGTGAGCATCGCCCTGGGAAGTGGGATAGTGCCTGCTGATGGGAATGGGAAAAGGAGTAAGAGGCATCTCTGTGCTTTTTGGGTACCAGCTGAGCAGGGAAATAGTATTTAGTTTTAATTGCAAACTTCCACCTGAGAATTCCAGAACTCTTCTGATTTATTCAGGACCGACATTGCATCTTTTTTTCAACGTGCCAATATCCTCTACTTACCTAAATAGCTGTTCTCCCTCCACAGTGCTTACCTCCCTCATGTTTATAGAGAGCAATTGAATCCCCTCTCAACCTTTGTTTTGCCAGGCAAACAAGCTAAGCTGGAATAATTATCTAAGCTCAATAATTATCCCCATCAGATATTTGGGAAGTGTGAGGCAGAGAGAGCCTCTACCTGCTTACACAATACATTAGTGGCAAAGCCAAATAGAGGCACTGGTTTCCCTGGCTGCTATTCCAGAGCTTTGTCTACTTGCCAGGCAACCACTGGTAATTAAAGACAACGTAAATGCCAAGTAACTGCAGAAGACTTACTGTATGTACTTATTTGCTCTGCCTGACAGTCGTTGAAAGTCGAATTCTGGACTGTAAATGCAGCACAGCCCATACAGTTGCGTATGGAACACAAGGTGGCATTCTTGGTACAGAAGTTGTATTGGAGTGAGTTTGGCTGGGTTGCGTTACTTACAGTTTTGTGGAAGAAAATTGTAAAAACAAAATAAGTCATGACGCTGGCCCTGCTACTTGATGCTTTTTTCTGATCTGCTGCAGCAGAAAGCTTTGCATTTAAAACGTATTTGTGCTGCTGCTTATATCCTGCTCTGTGCCCCTTGCCCATGATTGATGAAGACAACTGTTACATCCTTGTTTTGAAACACAGGAGTAATTCAGTTAATTCTGTGGGACTATTTACTTCCTTAAATTACAGCAGGTATTTGCAGTTCCTTGCGGAACTGGGTCCTCAACTGTTTTAAGTTCAATGAGAGTGAAGAGGAAGATTTCTGCGGGGGTATCGGGTCGTGCTTAGGACACCTGTGCTCTCACTTGCCCTGTCTTCTGCATGCACACAAAGAAGTTCCAGTCCCTTTCACAGAACAGGGCTCTCATTGATATCAGGTTAATGTACACTTTAAAATGGACTTGAACAAGAGCCACGCAGAGATGCTGTTTGACACAGGAGTCAGCCAACCATAGAAAATAATTTTCATGCTTTGATGTCCAGTAGCTACTCTAACAGGACAACTGCAAATCACAGCTAAGTACATGAGGAATGGTTCTGTTCCTTTTTAAATTAAAAGCTGGAAGATGAAATAGAAAGCAGACAAAGCTGATGGTGCCTACAGCTGAGCAGTGTTCCTGCTTGCATGAGAGCAGTATGTCTTCGATAGGTTTTGTAAAATCCTTTCAATTCTATAAGAGAAGCCATCCCATGTAAATCACCAGTTCTCCCGGTAATCTGTGTCTTTTCATCACACGTCCTATTTAGTCTTACAGAAAACAGGATTTGGAAACAAATCTCTCTATTCTGCAAAAAGCAAAAAAACCCCACAGTGGGATATTTGAGGCGGGGGAAAAAGGGGAGTATAAAATGTGATAGAACTGCGGTGAATACTGAAAGGTTCATTGTTTTCTCTGTGTGTGTGTGTTGTGTTTTTTTTTTTTCCCCTCTCTCCCCTCAGGTGCTTTTCTAATCCCGTACACCCTGATGTTGGCATTAGCTGGCTTGCCCTTATTTTTCATGGAATGTTCCCTTGGGCAGTTTGCCAGTCTAGGGCCAATTTCTATCTGGAGAATATTACCGTTGTTTCAAGGTTGGTATTGTTATGTTTCCTTAATCTTTTTTATTCTAGTAATAAACAGATGTGAGTTAATGATTTCTTCACAAAGTGACTAATTCTGAGAAGCCAGTTTCCTTGTAGAGACTATTCCCAACGTTACAAAGTCAGTATTATGTTTCCAGGTAGATCTTCCTTATCGTTCAATTAATAAACAGATGTGGATTAAAGATTTCCCAAAAAAGGTTGTCAATTATGAGAGGTTTTATCAGTGATTCTCCTGGTGTCATGCAGCACACCACCCTAACTGCAGCCGTCCAGGCAGAAGAAAATCACTCTGTTTGCTGTTTGAGAGAGAACCTCAGTTAAACACCTGGCACTGTGTGCAACAGATTGAAAATAATTTTTAGAAGTTAACTTTATTGCTGTTTCTTCTCACTTTACATCCTATGTAGCTTGCAAGGCAGTTCCATGTTGGATGGGCTAATTCTGTATTTGGCTGCCAGCATTGGCACAGGCATGTGCATCTGATTGCTTTATGCAATGCTGTGCATGTATTCATCCAACTCACTGCCTTGGGAGTCATCTGCTGGTGTGATTAAAATAGGCTCGACTCTGGCTTCATAAGGTGAGGTGCCTCTTGTGATAAGAGAAACAGTTGCACTCTGTAGTGGTAGTTTGCCTATCTCTGTGAGGGTTTGAATTTCATAGGGAGATTTATGTGATTGGAAACAAATAACCATGTGCTTTACCCGCTCCTATCCATCCAGATCCTGTACTGAGGGGTGTACAGGACTATGCAATTGGTCTTGTTTGTCCTCTTTATCTACCAGAGGAATTAATGTAGGAACAAGGAAGTTAAATTCTTATTGCATCAGAAAGGCACTTCCCACCTTCTACAGAAACAAAAGGGATTACAGTCTGGCTGGTTACCTGAACGCTTACTCTTTTTGCCAATCTCTGTTCTGCAGTGCAAACAACCTTTCACAAGCGCAGTGTATTAACTTCAAAGCAAAAGTCTATAGACACAATAAATCTCTTATGTGTCTGTGAAGATATAAACTTAGATATATTCTCTAAGATGATTAGGACAGTTTGGCAGACTTTCCCGAACTTGCAGAACAAAGTTCATTTTAACAAAGGAGAAGAACAGTATTATTGGCACAGACTTACTGTTCTGTGTTGCTTCTCCTTTATTGGCAAAACTATTCATTACAATGGGATCTTTAAAATTACTTGGTCAGTCCTGGTTTTTGTGTACTTTCTTTTATTTTACTAAGCAATCAAGGCTTCCCACTGAACTGGGAGAGAACAAAATACTGAATTTCTCCTTTAGACTTGGACTTAGCGACTACTCCAATTTTTCTGTGGGCCTGATTCAAACTCTATGTCAAAACCACATTTGAGATGGTCAGTTTGGATCATAACTCTCATTTCATGGCTTTACCCTTTCTCTGTTTGATTGCTGTTAAAAAGTATTTTAAAAACAAACAAAGAACAACCTCAACTTCTTCCCAAGTAGCCTTTTAAAAGTCAAGTGAAGGCTATTCATTTTTTTTTTTTTTTCCCAACCCAAGTTTGGTGTAGTTAAGACATTGTGTCTTTCTCTTTCCTAGGAGTGGGCGTCACAATGGTCATCATCTCAACATTTGTGTCGATCTACTACAACGTTATCATTGCTTACGCACTCTACTACTTATTTGCCTCATTTCAAAAAGTGCTACCGTGGTCAGATTGCTTTTCCTGGGCAGATGAGTTCTGCAGCAAAATACGATTAGGTACCGTACTTAACAGATAGGGCTTAATATTACTGTCTTGGGTACTTGTACTTCATACTGTTTTCTGGGAGAAATTACAGGAGAAAGACACCTACCCGTGGCTTGAAAAGTCCTTCCTGGAGTTTTGTCTCTGAACACAGGGGACTGATGCTTGTCTGCTTCCCTGCCACCAGTTCTGGGTGCTTGGGAAATCTAGAGGAAGCTGGGCTGAAACCTCCTTGTTGGATCCTTTTTATTCTCCTTTAAATCTAAGGTTTCTTCTAGTACATACAGTCCCCAGAAATACTGCATTTCCATTTTATCAGGCTTCATGGCAAAGCAAATACCTTCCTTACCTGAAGCAAGAGTATTGCTGTAGCTTTTATCGGGGGTTCTTTCATTACCCCTTGCCTCCCCTGTGGCTATGGTAATCCTGAGCACCAGTGAGGCACTGGTTTCACACTTTATTAACTCTCTAGAATATATCTCCACGCTATTGTTCTTGATGTTTGGCGACACATGTACGACCAAACACTTGTTATCTCACCAGTTTCCATATCAGACCAGCTTAAGCAAAGGTGAAGTTGGTGAGATAATTAGTAGTTAGTAGCTGGAAATGTCTTGCCAAGTGTAAATGTAATTGTAACTCTCTTAACCATATATCTGAAAATCTCTTCTAAGGTTCATAGGTTTTATAAAATGAAGTTGAGGTGCTTTATTTAACAAAAAGTTGACGCTTGCTTATGGGCTAAATAAAAATATTTTAGCTCAAAATTTGTAAGTGCGGGAGGAATACAAAACTGAACTGAAGAAGCTGTCCTGAAATAGGCTTCAACAAGACTATTCCAGTAAATGCTGATATAGTGTTCTTTACTGTATGTTCTGTAAAAAGTACCCCAACCCAAACAAAACCAAACAGTGCCCACCCCTGCACCGCCCCCTGCTAAGGAAAATGTTTAAAGAGCTCTAGTAAGCCCTCTGCCATAATAAGATGAAGTTGCTAGAGGATGATCTGTGTGTAACCTTGGTTTGGGACAAAGGTTTTCATGGAATAACCAAGGCTACATTCTTAACTATCCTCAGTTCTGATTTTTGCAAGTATTCCTTACGATAAGTGAAAGGTGGAGCTGAGCACACCAGATTCTTGGTCTTTTGATTTACAAAGTAAAAGTCATAGCTGCAAGTGATAGTTCAGATTTGTTTCTAGATATTGTTAACAGGCAAACTGTTAGAAAACACATTTGCTATAACACTCTGATTTTTGTAATAGTCATCACTGTGTTAACAATCCCTTTCGCTTGCTCGCTTGCTTTCAGTAAGCGACTGCAATGCAACCTTACATGGAGAAATCATTCATGCAAACTACTCGTTCATCACAAGCAACAACCTCACATGTATGAATGGCACCATGAACTACAAACCAGTGCAATTTCCCAGTGAGCAATACTGGAAGTAAGTAAATATTTTAAAGAAATTGCTAAAAATGCATTTATTATGCATTGTGGTTTTGAATGTATCTTCTATTTTTGTCTTATCTTGCTGTCCAGAAACAATCTAGTCAAGGGGGGTGGGCATGCAAATCTGTGCAGAGGGGACTTAAAATTTAATTGATGAGTCTGGGCCCTTTAAAAAATAAAAAAAATTAGAAGCAAAAGAGTCAACCTGTGGCAAACTGAAAAATACTCCAGCTTAAAGTCCTCCTCTTCTCTGGAGTCCTGGTAGGGACTACTTAGCATCTTTATGTATAACATATACTTTTTTTAGGAGTTACTGTGCAAAATATATTCACCTTATTCTGAATCTGGGCCTGTTGTGAAATTGCCATTTCTTTAGCCACGTGGTTTCAATTTGCCTCATGTTCCTTGGGTTTCTGGGAACTAGTTCTTCTTATGGGCTCTTTTCTTGCTATCAGAATTCCATGGTTAACAAGAAAGAGCTGAGGTAGGCCTGATGGGAGCTGTATGGAGAGCTGAGGGCTGGTAGAATTTAAAAAGAGGGGAAAAAACAGTTAAATATTCAGTTTTTCGATGCAAATCATGCAATTCTAACTGCATGCTCATGGAAGCAGCTGCAGGGCCTTGTAATATCTGCAGAAACAAGCTCACTTTCCTCCAAGAAGTGGCTGAAGAGGAGGAGTGTGTGTGCTGCTGTCGCCCTCTTCTCATTGCAGCGTTTTGTGCTTTTAGTAAAGTGACTCTCCAGCGCTCCAGTGGGTTGGACGAGACTGGTAACATCGTGTGGTACCTGGCTCTCTGCCTCCTGCTGTCCTGGATGATTGTTGGAGCTGCACTGTTTAAAGGAATAAAATCTTCCGGAAAGGTAAGTTAGGAAGAGCAACTAGCAGACTTTTGGCCTGATCCTGCCCTTCCAATGTCAGTTGGACTCAGGGAAGGTTAGCACAAGGCAGGATGCAGTCCTAACTCAGTACCCTCTGCTGGACTCAGCGTTAGACTTTCTTTCTGTTCCTTGGCTTCATAACTGTTGCATAAAATATGAGTGAGGTGCTGATTACACGGCAATTACTTAACACATGGGTCTCTTAGCTCCATCAGGGCTGCCATGTATTTGGGGATCTTGCTGTCATGCGGGTGATTCCAGCTGAGTTTTGGCAGTCACCTGGCCTGTTATGACAGACATGTGCCTGTGACCGCACATGTACGCACACACCCTGGGAACACCTGGTAATTATTTGCACCTCCAGACTAGTTGAGGTGTTTGGACAATACAGGTCAAGTCCTGCGAACAGATGTGTGTGTGCAGGTTCCTACCAGATTGTGAAATGTTGTTGGTACTTAAGATTTCAAGCTGCTTTTAGGGACTAGGTCTATAGGTGCTTGTTTTCAGACTCTGGCTCTGCTGAGCTCCCATTTCCATGTGCTGGAGCACGGCTGCCTGGAGTTTTCCTTGGGCTAGGCTGGCTCCTCTCCAGACTTCAGGCAGGCTGAATTTCATTCTTTCCTGCCTGAGGCCCTTTTCCTGGTTCAGTTCCTTCCTCCCCATACTCCTTTCTTACCTCCATGTTGCATGTCTATTTCTTACTTCTTCAGTCTCTGTTGCCTTCATTCTTTCTCTCACTCCTGCACTGTGTGTTTTTTGTTTTTTTTTTCCTTTCGATTCCTTCTGTTATTGTGCCTTTCCATGGTTCCTTGCTGCCTATCTTCCTCTCCTCAGTCGGATGTCTCCTATTCTGCTTTCTATTTGGAGCTTCCTGCCCTCCATCTCAGCACTTCAGGGTGGAGTATCTATGCTTTCCCAGCCACAGTTGTTCTGCCTCATGGCTCCTCTTAAACTCACATCCTTTGGGTTCCTGGCAATTGGCTCTTCCTGTTGTCACTTCTCTTCTGGCACAAAGGTAAGCCTCTTTGAGGAGTAAGGTAAGACTCAGAAGAATCTAGCTGGGCAGGAACAAGGCAAAGAGGAAGGGCAGAGAGAATTGACTATTCCAGGCAAATATGAAGGAGGTCTTCAGAAATGGCAGACTCGCCATATGATGGTGCAATGCTATGGCTTGGTGTAACCAGCAGTACCAGGTCAATTATCTGTCTGCGTAACATTGAAACTAAGACTCAAGAAACAAGAGTGTTGTTGAACGTAGCCTGCATGATAATAGCACTGCTTAGCCCTGTTTCTGGCCTGGATCCCATCACACTAGAAATTGTGTAAACAAACAACAAATAAGATCTGTGTCCAAGAGAACCTGAAAGTCCTCGTTCCCAGTAAAGTAAAGAAAGCTTCCAGCATGGTGCTTCCCCCCACCACAGTCTCAGCAGGAGATAATTCCATCCTGGTCACCTAATTTTGACTGGCTTTCAGTTTGCATTTGCTAGAAGCATTGCCTAGCAAGAGACCTCTGGGGTAGTTGAGTTCAGGCCTTGCTACAGCAGTAAATCATGTCAGAAAACACATTTCTGAAACTAGTCAAGTGCTGTCTGAAAAGTGGATGTGTGGCTTGGGCCTTCTGCTTCTGCTGGAATGCAGCTCCAGAACTGGCTAAGCCAGATGGTTTAGTGCTTGGCATGCATTCACTTCCCTGATTGCCTGTTTTTCATTTGTACCAGAAGACCTTAGCCTAAAACCTGGCCATTCCTCCTGGACCGAGGTTTGTGCATCTCCTCACTTCTAATGTGTGTCCCTGCGCTTCTTTCTGCAGGTCGTCTACTTTACCGCGCTCTTCCCATATGTCATCCTGCTCATCTTGCTGGTGCGAGGTGCCACCCTGGAAGGTGCTCTGGATGGCATCGAATACTATATTGGGAGACAGTCCAACATCACCAAGCTGATGGAGGCAGAGGTGAGAGGTAGTGTCAGCCCCAGAAGCGTGACGCGCTTCTGTCATCCTATGGGCTTGTAACTTACAGAGCAACTTCTTTTTTTATCCGGTCAGGTGGTGCTTCGTCTCCTGCCCTGCATTTTGTATCTGCAGCTGGGTTCTGTTTTTTTCAGCAACCCCCAGCTCTATCCGAAGTCCAAGCCCCTATTCTAGCTACTCTCAATCAAAAAAACAGCCACCCTCTACCCCGCCCTGCAACGCCCAACAGTGATGACAACTGCAGTATTGCCTCTGAGCAGCTCTTGGGGGTCATGCTGGAGTTTCATCTTAGCAAGGCCTGCTGAGAAAGTTCTTGCTGTGGGATCAAGTGTTGCTCTCGCATGTGTCCCACTTCCTTTGGTTGCTGATAATTTCAAGGGACTTTATCAGAAGGTTGTAGGGACCGCTGAATTTGAAATGCAGGCTGTGCCTTGCCCAGGAAATTAGCTTGGGAAATTAGGTGGACTGGGAAGGGCACCTTGTGCAAAGGAAGCCTAGATTTTTTTTGTTCTGGCTCATGCCAACACTAGTTCAGTTTTCAAAAGCAGACATTATGTGTGATACTTATTTGTGGTATTTTATGTGAGCATTTGGTGCTGAGGGGCTGCAGCAGAGGCAGAAGTGGTTTGTCTGGGTAACGGTGTAAGGAACACAAGTGGGAGAGCACATGGAAGTTCTCACTCCTGCAACCTGGTCCTGGTTTTCCTTATTTGTTGGCACTGTGTCAAGATTCGTATCTCAACAACCCACATATGTGAATGAATTGAATCTTTTCTTCAGGGTTAGCCCAATAAGATTTAATATTTGGCAACATATTCAGGATGTGACCTTTGGAAATCATAGAAGATATTGTTTGTGCTTGAGACTGCAAGGTCACCAGTGTGCTATATCCCACCTACTCTAAAATTCACATGAAATTAGATATTCAGACTAAATGTAGAAAAACCCTGGAGCTTCAACAGAGGGCAGACTTAAATGTTTATGATATGTACTGTAAGTAATACAGTAATTCCCATGTTCTTATTTCCGGTAGGTTTGGAAAGATGCAGCCACCCAGATATTCTACTCCCTGTCCGTGGCATGGGGCGGGCTTGTTGCTTTGTCTTCATATAATAAGTTCCACAACAACTGCTACTCGGATGCTATTTTTGTTTGTGTAACCAACTGTGTCACCAGCGTATTTGCTGGGTTTGCAATATTCTCCATCTTGGGACATATGGCATTCGTGTCCGAGAGACCCGTCTCGGAGGTCGTGGACTCAGGTAGGCTGATCATGGCACTGTCGGTATCGGGACTTGCTTTGACCATGGCATGACAATAACCTCCTTCCTTCCACTACTTTCCAGGATTTGATCTGGCATTTGTAGCCTACCCAGAGGCTCTCTCCAAGTTACCAGTTTCTCCTCTGTGGTCCTTCTTGTTTTTCTTCATGCTCCTGCTCTTGGGCCTTGACTCTCAGTTTGCCACCATAGGTGAGTGGGGTTTTAAGTAACCCATGGCTTTTTGAATGACCATTACCTTTCTTAATTGTGCTACTTCTGCTCAAAACCCACACTTCTTCCTTTGCAGAAACACTTACAACCACCATACAAGATATATATCCTGAAGTGATGAAAAAGTTAAGAATGCCTATAACCCTGGGTGTATGCATATTGCTCTTCTTTCTCGGTCTTATCTGTGTTACTCAGGTAAGACATTAAATTTGTTTGTGGCAGTGGGCTTAGTGATGCTGCAAGTGATGAACTCAAGTCAGAATATCCTTTCCAACTGTTCTTGTTTGCATGGATTGATCTGAGAGATCCTTGCATTCTGCCAGCGTGCCTGGACATGCAAATAAGAAATTCCCAGAGGGAAGCTTGAAGAACCTGAGGTTTTCTGTGATTACTGAACTGAGATGTGCTTTTAAATAGAAGATCTGTACAGAGCGTGTGAAGCATCAACCTGATTTACCGCCCTTCAGTTTGGGAGGTTATCTGTGTAATCTCAAGCATACACATACAGTGTGTGTGCAGCGCTGGGGGTACCACTAATAGATGCCGATGGGATCTTTTTGTTCAGAACTGACTACCAAACAGGACAGGATTTGAGAAATGGCCTATTCATGTCATAAAAACCTATTAGCTCACAAGCATCTGTAGATTGCATGGCTACTTCTCCTGAAAATAAATATATATACACACCTATATAGCTATGCACACACATAAAAGGAATTTTCAGTACACTCTGTACAATTTCTTGGAGCAATTGCTTTCAAGGATATAAAGGTTCATTGCAATGACTCCATCTAGAAATGCAGATTTATGTATGTAATTAGACTGAGAATGTGAAGAAGATTAAGTTGTGAATAAGACAGTTAAGTTATGAAACAAGATGGCAGGGAAACTTGTGAAGGACATGCTACGCAAGAGTGCGAAATGGCTTAAAGTTTGTTTCATGCTCTGTGATCCTGCTATTGCATGCTGGTGTTTAAAGCTGTGTTTAATCCACGTGGAGAACTTGTGGGTATAGGAGTATACAAGCCTACCAGAACTGATAACTGGTATAGCTGTTGCTGTCGCTCAGTATTAAAACTTCAGCACCAGCTTTAATACAGTAAGTTCCAAATTTACGTTTTGCTCTCAGCTGTCTATATATACTTTGCATATACATATCTCTTGTTATTAATATACAGATCTACAGCATTTTGTCAGATGTGCCTTTCAACCTGACATAGAGATATTTAAACAAAATAATGTTCACAAATGTGTACTTAACCTAGAGAACTGGGAATTTAAAAAATCAGACTGGTGATTAGTTAAACTGGCTTGAACAACACAACTTATTTTATTTGCATAAAGATGTTACTGGGTACTGGGGCTAGGTACATTTTTACCTCTTTATTGTTTGTTCTACAGGCAGGAATTTACTGGGTTAACCTAATAGATCACTTCTGTGCTGGATGGGGAATCCTTATTGCAGCAGTCCTGGAGATAATAGGCATCATCTACATTTATGGTAAATTGTTTGCACTGAAAATCCATGATTTGACTATGCAGTCCCAGACACAGTGTGTACTAAACGTTAATTACCGCAATAAGGCATTTATAACTTAGCTGGCTGAAAAGCTCTAATGGTTACCACAGAACTGGAGAAACTGACCTTGACCGCTGCCTTTCTCCTATCCCTTTTGAGTAACCACACCTGCAAGGGAGGCACCTGCTTTACAATGCACCCTACGATTGTCTTTCAACAGGAGGAAACAGGTTCATTGAAGACATTGAAATGATGATTGGAAAGAAGAGCCGTGTATTCTGGCTGTGGTGGAGAATGTGCTGGTTTTTCATTACTCCTGTGCTGTTAATGGTGAGTGTAGATGACTGGATTGTGTTAGTGTGACCGAACTTAGTAATTGGATATCGAAGAGGTTTCCACGTGAAGATTCAAGGCTGAATGCCCAGACCCTATGTATAAGGACAGGGTATGGCTGTGCCAGTGAAGCAAACTACGTGCTATCTGGGCTTTCCAATACATACCGCTCCTCCTTGGGTCCTCTCCAGGAGAGGCTGGTCCTTTAGATCAGTTGCTAGTGAGCTGGGTCTACACTCCGAGGAGTAATACAGAGCAGCCAGATTGTCCATCTTAGCAGCTGGATTATCTTCATTTCAGACTGAGAAAGTGTTTTGAATACCTAGATTTTTCCCCTTTGAGGGAAATTCCGTTTTCGGGACAGATCCCTGGCTTGGTTTTGCTCTCTGGATGTCCAGCTGTTCCCCTGTGTGAGATTCCTGTTATGTGTGTCTCAGTTTTTCATTACTCCTGCACTTCTAATTGTGAGTGTAGATGGTTGGATTATGTTACTATGAGAGAATTTATTAAGATCTCAAATCCAGGAGCAGTGGCAAGTCACTCTGGCCAGCACATTACCTTTAATCTGTCCAGACAACAGTTTAGAAAATGCTGCTCCTGAAATATCTTATTTCTGCAGCAATATGTGCCAGCAGTTAATCTTAGATTCTTTCCCATATTCCTGTAAATAAAGAAACGTGGGAACGTATAAAATATACAGAGAAAGGTACTGGGCTCATCCAGCAACATATATATTCTCCAACATAAGATTTCAACAGAACCCAGAGATCAACTTCTGTTTAAACATAGATGTACTTGAAGTGTTAGGGTGCGTATCAGTGTCGTCCTTCAGTCCTGTCCTTCAGTCTTACTGCTTGGCCATGACTGAACACCAAATACTGCACAACTGTTCTTGCAGTCAGAAAGCTAGCCCTTTTGTTAACCAACTTGGAAATACAGTACAAGTTCAAGTTAGCTGGAAGTCTGCTTTTCTCTATTAATTTTTTTTGCCATTTTTTATAGGCAATTTTGGTCTGGTCTTTGATCACGTTTTCACCTCCCACTTATGGCTCAGTGTTATATCCAGCCTGGGGAACTGCTGTTGGCTGGTGCATGATTATCTTCTGCGTCATCTGGATTCCCATCATTGCTATTGTAAAAATAGTTAAAGCTGAAGGAAACCTTTGTCAGGTAAGGGCACAAAAAAGCTGCCATAGCCTCAAATCTTCTTTCCTTGGCATTATCAGGAACGCCTGTGCTTTCTTCTCAAAAACATGCTCAGTTCTTTGAGGTGTTCGTTAATGGGATTTTTAGACCAAAACACACCTCTTGTAGTTGTATCAGAGGCAAATTTACCCTACTGTGTTCTGATAAGAAGGTGGAGTGTAATTCTCTGGGAGTGCACCCACACATTCAAGAGTGATTTTCATGGTTTCTGTTTATTATTCCAGCTGCTTTAAATTCTCTGAAGAATTTCTATCACTTTCTATCCCCATATCATTTTCTGGAGTTTTGCCTCCCATTCCTCACAGAAACAAGCAAGTGCAAGACCTGAGGTATGCTCTTCTTGCCAAGCTTTGCCAAAGAGTCCTCTTGGTCACAGCTTTGCTTGCTTGTTTGACTTCAGTGTCCAGAATCCACTGAATCCAAAGACATTTGGAATGATTTTAAAAAACACTGGTGATTTGTTTGCCATTTGTTGAGTTGCAGGGCATATCTGGAGTTACAGTTTTACTGAACTTTAAAAATAGCCCAGACTAAGGTAAGACATCAAATGCCTCTTGTTTTTTCTTTCCAGCGCATTGTAAGCTGCTGCAGGCCCGCTGCAAACTGGGGTCCCTACCTGGAATGTCACCGAGGAGAAAGATACAGCCATGTTGTAGATCCCAAAAAGGAAAAGGAACACGAGATTCCTACTGTGGCTGGCTTTGTATACACTCAACAATGAGATGGCCATTTGGATGACTTTTTTTAACATATGTGTGGTTTTTAATTTAACTATTGGAAAGTGACAATGCAAAACAACAATGACAAAAAGCAAATCAACCCTCTGCCCTAAAAAACCCAGCCCCCAAATGGAAGTGAGCCATATTATTTATTTTTAGTGCTGTGTGTTTGGGGAGGAACGGGTAAGTTAGGCACTGACATCTTCCCAGATATTTAGGTTGAGAGGGCAGGAAAATGCATTGCAGGCTCCCCAGGCTGATGGACTGGGCATGCTTAACCCTATCCAACCGGTATCCAGCTGGACTGCAGATACGGGTGTAGAAGAGAACAAAGACACATTCTGGTGCTCCCCAGCTACATCAAATTTGAGCCAAAAGGTGCTGTGCTTGCATGCCCCGATGTGCTGCAGGCAGTTACTACCTTCTGCTGTGCTTTGCCATCCACAGTGGTGTGCATTTGGCAGAGAGGTGAATGGGTGTGCTGGTGCCTGGCACTGTAGCTCAGGGAACAGGAATAATTTTGCTCTGTCTAAGCCTTGCTCAGTGCTGTAAGGCTGCTCAGGATTTGATGTTGACTATAGTGTGTGTGTTGTCTGTGCATCTAAATATTGAGTGGCAAAAAATTGCTGTCACAGGAAATAAGGCCTTAACATGGTGAAAAGCAGGCTTCTTTCTGTTTCTCATTATTTCCCTTGGGATCCCCAAAGAGCCATCTTTTGTGTCATGCCCCATGCTCAGCATTCATCTGTCTATATAATGAAAAAATGCCACGTTTCCATATTCTGTCATTAGGCTCTGCAGAGTGAAATAGTAACCATTGATTTCTGGCGTGTCTGCTCTCCTACACTCACCAAGGCTTTACCTATCAGTTTGTTCTCTACATCTTTCACTCAGGTTTGGGTTTTCCCTTCCAAAGGAGACCCAAAGTGCTTTTTAAAAGATTCAAACAGTGTTATCAGTGTTGTGGTAGAGCCAAAAGAAGCAGAACTTTACCCCAAGTGAAGGTTAGAACTGCCTTGTAGTGCTGTTACTCCAAAATTTGCTGAAATCATGAGATCATTGAAAAGTTAGGAAATTTGTAATGCATTTGGGAACACAGACTTATGCTTCTACCTAGGCAGGAGGGGGTTAGGTTAAGAGAACCTGACTTCACTCGTAATACAGGCGAATTCCTGATAGAAGAAAAAAACCTATGAATTGAATGAATACATTTTGTGTGCTGAGGAACGTCTCTTACTGTGATAATGGTTCCTTAGGAACAACGCAGCAGGGTTTCTGGCTGTCACTTCTCAGGGCTTTGTCACTGTTTCTGGACATGAAGGAGTGTGGATAGTGGCTTGTTGCCCAAGCTGCATACCTTGGTGTATGTTTTATACTGGTGTTTTTGTGACAAATCAACACTTTATGGCAAATAAAACATTATTTTCTGTTTTTAATGGTTTTGGAGCTGGAAAATGAGATTTCAGCCTTTTGTATGGAGTTCGGGGGAGGTAGTTGGTAGGAAGTACCACCAACTCTTCTATGATCCTAAGCCTTTGGGAGGTTGAACTGGAAAGATTCAACCTCCAGGAAGACTTTTCTTACAGAAGTTAGGATCTAGTGCAATAACCCTGTTTTGGAGTGGGCTCAGAAAATACAGAAGGTAATTGAGTGGGAATTTATAAAAAGGACTGCAGCATTAGAGCCTGTAACAGAAGCTGGTGAAGAGGACCCCTTTCCTGCACTCCAGCTGCTCTAGGGTCATGGTCTAGCCAGGAACCAGCAGAAAACAGCGCTGTCACTGGCCCTGATGTGTGGAGAGGCTGGGAGTGGGAGGGAGGCTGAGCTGCAAAGCTGTGGTGCTCATCCTGCAGTGCACCATCCATTGGAGCTGCCACAGTGGGTAGCAGTTCATACCTGGGAAGCGACAGGCTCTGGGAAGGAGAGAGAAGTTAGTCAAGTTATGAATGAGAGAAGCAGGCTGGCCAAACCAGCTTCAGAAAGAATCCAGGAAAGTTTTGGCAAAAGAGATGCTGAAGGCTAATACCAGCCATCTACTGCCCTGCAGGAAGCCCCTGCTGCTGCACACAGGGCTCCTTTTGAGGCTTCTTCTGCTCTGGACTTGTCTTATGGGCTTCTAGGAGCTGGTTTCATAAAGTTGCACTATCAAAGCCTCCTAGAAGAGTGCCAGAAGACAATTTCTCAAGGACTGGGGATCCAGTTTTGGTGCTTTCTCCTTTCTCCAGGGTAAGAAAATCCCCCAGTTCTGAAGGCAAGGTTTGCTCTCCTGGTCACTGGCAGAGCTGGGACCCCTCTCTGCGTGTGCATGTCTGACATCTTCCCGGTACATCCAGTTTCTATTGCTGTCTTCAGATGAGTTGACTGCTGGTATCTGCTGAGGAGTCTCAAAGAGTATTTAGGAGTTGGCATTCATATTCCTCACCCATCACAGCTCTGGCCCAGCAGCTAGGGTTGTGCAGTGGCCCCTGAGGGTTACATGAAGTGGTGTCCCTCAGCGCTGCTCTGGAGGCAGGCTGGGCCCAGCAGACCTGGGCATATTCCTCACCCACGCAGGCTGGTGCCCAACATCCTGGTGTTTGTTGGGTTGAAAAATCAGCAGTGCAGCGTTCCTGGTAAGGGAGGATGCTCTCTGCTGAGCAGGTGGTCGAAATGCCTGGGGTTTGGGGTTTTTTTACTTTTGAGGAAAAAAAGAAAATGGTTCTGCTTTGGATCCAGCTCAACAGGAGTGGAAGGGAAACTCTTGGAAAGAGAAAAGTAGAAGTGCAAAAGAAGTACATTTGCTTTGGATTGGCTCAAAACGCAAGTATGTTTTCAGTCAGGAAAGAGAACACAGATGTGTGCAGTTCCAAAAAGCCACATCTATAACATGGAAACATTTTAAAAGACGTATTTCAACTGGTATTTGTGCATGTATGTAAAGCGATTAGTTAGGGGCCAAGCTTGTGAAAACGAATTTAAAACCCTGAAGTTATTTCTATTGCAGATACTGTTCATAGGCAT